TTCCGCTTGTAGAAAGTTCTGCTCAAGTCTTGGCTATTGAACAGCGAAAATCGCAGGTCTCTATCTTATTCCTATCAAAAGTTATTCAAAAAGTGGCTGACTGTCTTGTATTTTGGAACGCATAGTAGTTAAAAAATATGTTTCTGGATCATTTTTTCTCACTGTAGTATGACACATTATCTAAGAAAAAATTGTTTAATAGTCTATAATAAGATGTACCTCTTAGCAAAATGTATTGTTACAAGTTTTATGCGAATTTTTCTAACAAGGTCATTTTCAACTTCTAACAATATATTTTTTTTCATCTTTTTTTTAGCGTAATGCAGTTAAGTCAAAGTCCCGTGTTATCATCATCGACTATGCCAGCTATTCACAAAGATAATTGGCAACAGCGACGATATAATTTTTTAAGTAAAAATAAAATGTTCGGTGCTGAACTAAAAGATGAACTTGTGGGACAAATAATCAATGAACAAGGCTCAGATATTGAACATAGGTACGGTACATTCCTTTAAAGTTTGAAAAACGTTTTACACTTTTTATTTTTAAAAATCATTTATCTTTTTATAGACCAATGGTTAGTCCTTCTCAATTACCACTTTCCGGAAGTATGGATTCTGAAGCATCAAATGCAAAACGTGAATCAATCATTGGCATGGCAGTTAGTGGTGTAAGAAATCTTTTGGTGGTAAGTTAAAAATATATTTATAATTATTATTAGACAACAAAATTAAGCCTTCTAAATATTTAGCCATATGAAATACGTATACAGACGCCAAGTTTTTTCGATGAGGTATAACGTCGTTGTGTGTTCTAATTTTATATTTTTTTATCTTGCTGCCGGTTGCTGTTATGATAAACTACAATTGCTTTTTAGTTTTCCTTTGCTTTTGTAAAATTCATAACATTTCTCGTTTGGAATAAAAATGTTTCTTCACGGCTTTTTTATTCATAAAATAATTATACTCTCTAGTACTAAATTCCATACAGATGCTTTATTCGCTTGCTAATACTATTATTTACTAAAGTTGATCTCTTTACTTAGAGATAACATAAATATAAACTGATAGATATAAAGATTATGTGGTTTAATAGACAATTTTACGAGCTATATTTTGGTAAGAAATTTTCGAAAATCATCTGTTTTCATGTATCAATGGAAATTTGATGGTGAGAGGATACAAAATTTATAAAATTTAATTTTTTTCTTAAATAAGTATATCCTAACCTTATCGAATTGTGTGTTCAATTCTGCATCTATTTTTTTATTTTATTTTAATTAGTTTTGTATCTTCGATTATCGAAAACCTGCTGATGAATTTACATCAAAGATATAAACTCATTTAAATTTGAATAAAATATTTATTTAAACAAAAGATGACTCTCACAGTTGAGAGTATGACTTGCGCACTGTACTTTCGACTTAGGGTTATCGATTTTTATTCATTTTATTTTGCTTATCTTTCTAATTTCTAACTATTTTTTATTCTTCTGGTGTATAGTGAAATGAAGAATGATATTATTTGAATCATTCTACATATATTTTGTGTTTCTTCAGCAAGAAGATGATGATGATCCCGATAGAAATGAAATGGGTGTTAGTGCAAGCGCAGTCGGTTTACAATCAATCGAAGAAGTTCCCAAATCATCCGAAAATGATGAAGTTGACCATGGCCAATCGAGATGGTAAATTTGTAGAAGTGAATTTAAATATTATTGGTGATATATATTTTTTCTGTCTTTATAGTTCAACATGCACACAAACAGAAAATGAGCTACTTCAAACAATAACAACAACAAAATGTGATTCTCTACCGTATACCGTTATTATCCCATCTAAAAGTTATAATAATCGATTTGAGTGTAAGACTTAATGAATTAATTAAAATGTTTTCTGTTATTTTTTTAATTAACTAATATATTTTAGTCATTTTGAAACGACGACCATTTAGATATTTTAGTTCACGCTATAAAAATGATCGCAAACAAAAAAAAGTGATTATTCAAGAATTATATAGTTCTCACAGGTGATTTATGACTCTTTTTAGCATTATGTATAGTAAATTAATGTTAATTTTTCCTTTTTAGACCTTATTTTACATATTGGGTTACATTTGTTCAAGCCTTAGTGTGTGCAATATCATTAATTGTTTATGGTTATGCGCCTCTCACATCTAATCAATCAGTGAGTACACTTTTTTTTATTAAATTTTTGATCAACTAGTATCATTTGTTATTGTTTTTTCAGAATAATTCATCATTGACTGAACAACAAAAATTTGATTTAACAGTGAATCCATGGTTCGGTCCCCATCCGGTAATTTCCTCATTGTTTAAATAAAGCAAATTGGATTATTTGAATTATTTTTTTTGTTTTTTTAGGCTGATCTTATTCGTCTAGGTGCTAAATATCCACCATGTATGAGAAGTCATAGAGACGTTAAAAATAAATATTATAAACAAGAAAGATTAGAAGCATTATCTGGTTGCTGTATTGATGGAAAATCTAATCAATGTATGCAGACATTAGAAGATCAATGTTTGGTAAATACATACCAGTTTTTTGTTTCTCTTCTTAATGTAATGACACAACAGCCCATGTTCTATTCTATAGGCACGTTCCAACTTAAAATGGTATAAAGCACCAGTGGTAACTAAAAATGATACCAAATGGAATAACAAGAGAATTTTGTATCCTGCTGTTTGTGGTTTGACTCCAGAGTATGTAAATTTATATTATTTATTTATCTGTGTATATTAATTTCCTTTTTTAAGAGTATGTACGAAACAACTGACAACTAATGTAGCAAGACCAGAAGAAAATTCATGGCCATCAACGTCCACCGATACAAGATCATTAAAATGGTCTCCTCATGCAACACAATGGCCTGTATGTAACACGATCTATATTCTAATTTTTTTTTGTCTCTAATAGCGTTGAATATCTTTCTAGATTTGTCTTCATATTGAAAGAGACCGTATAAGTCATAACATATCAAAATATCCATATATGACTTGCAAAAATATAGCCAATCCTTGTTGTGTTGGTATTTTGGGCGATTGTGTTTTAACATCAAGAGACGGTAAATCTTTCAAATATTCTTCATTGTAATAATTGTTGTGTTAAACTTGAAACATACGACAATTTCATTTATAAATATCTTCTCGTTTGTATTCTAAAATAATATAATCGTACTTTAAACATTAGAGAAGAAGTAAAACTGTAATCCTTCATGATAATTTAGATCTATTTTTTTCCATTTCAGACTGTCGTCGTCGTCGTGGAATTTATCATCCTCGTGCACATCTATGTTCACAGGTAAAAATATATTGACGACTTATTTTTCTTCTCATTTATATCACGTAGAAAATGTGTATATATATTTTAGGTCGATTGTATTCAAAGTACTTGTGGAATGTTAGAATTTTTTATAAGTAAGAATAATTGTTTCACTAGTATTTAAAATAAAATAAAATAAAATAGAATAGAATTTATAAATTTATCGATCTATTTTAGTTCGAACTCCTGATCAAGTTTATCGCTTTTGGACAGTTATATTTATTCATGCAGGGTATATAACAATTATAACAAGAAGATAAACAGAAGATATAGTTTTATATTATTCATATTTAGATTGATTCATTTGGCTATAACAATTATATTTCAGTATACAATAATGCGTCATTTAGAAAAATTAGCCGGATGCATACGTGTGATGATTATTTATGTTGTGGCAGGTTTTGCTGGTAGTTTAGCAAGTGCTCTATTTCTTCGTGATTCTATTCAGGTAAGTCTTATATACATTCGTTATGTTCAAATTCTATTCCTCATATTATTGGTGTACATCTAGGTGGGACCGGGAGGTGGACAAATGGCTATTTTAGCATGCTATTTAAGTGAATTATTTATTGGTTGGAAAGATCTGAAACATCCATGGATACCATTTTTTAAAATTGTTATCTGTCTTCTTCTATTATTTACTGTTGGTTTATTACCATTAGTAGATAATTATTCTCAAGGTTTTGGATTTTTATTTGGTTTTCTTCTCAATATGATTGTTTTTCCTGATTTTAATTTACCAAAAAATGTTCGTCGACTTGTTGTTATATGTGTCTCATTGGCAATTACTATTGCCTCATTTATTACACTAATTGTCTTATTTTATGCATTACCGTTTACATGTAAATCATGTAAATATTTAAGTTGTCCATTTTGGTCTGTTTGTGGTGGAGAAAAAAGGGATTTGGTATAGTATCTATTGATCTACTTGTTTTATTATTATTTATCATTAATAATATTCCGTCAGATATCAAGTCATTACCTGTGCTTGACTTTTGTTAGTCATTAGTATTTTTTTAATCCATATGTAAAAGACTCTTCCGTTTATGGCTGGCCATTTTTTTTTTCTGTATAACAGAAATATTTTTTTTTTGTTTATTAAAAGAATATAGTTTTCGTTTACTGATGTAAATTACGCTAATCTACGTTTTTTTTTCTCATTTATACAGATGATGTTTTTAAAAAAATCAAGCAAGAATATCAACTGATCTCGAAGACAATGAATGCTGGTTATTCATTTTTTTTTTTGTTTTAAAAATTATTTTGTCCTCTTTAATATTTTTTATTACCGTAATCTAATCCATACGGCATATATTTAAAGTATGTATCAACTGAATAGTTCAAATCTTTATGTACATACATCAGTAAATCATAAAAATTGTTTCAATTATTCTTCTTCAAATCTGTTTTATGATTTCAGGAGTAAACATTAAAAAATATAAATAATTGAGTATATGGCTGCTACAAAATACATATTAGAATTTTTCTAAATTTACTATGATTTCATTCGAGTTTTCGATGATTTACTGTCATCATAGTCAGGAAACAAAATGACAAGAAGAATGCACTAGTTAAACTACTGTCGGTTTTCCTTTTTCTTTTCCACTTTTTTTTCTAAGAATATTAAAGAAAAGCATCAAAATCTGAAAAAAATAAATAGAAATTACTTTGAAAGAACGCGATGCAAAGCAATCGACACTTTTATAGAAACTGCATGGAAACTGACACAAAAGAAAAAGATCGACTACCTTCGTCTCTATATAATTTTCTTTTTAGATGCTGTCAGTATATAGAGATAGCTTTTTTTATCTAAGAACAGTTGCTAGAGATACAGCCGTCCAATTGAAAAGTTGTGAATTGGAAGAGTAGACAGTCAGATTAGTTTAATAGTTTATCTTTAATTTAGTGAGATTTATCTGTTAAAGTATATTCATGTTTATGCATTATTTTGGCTTTTTTCTATTTCCTGGTTTTAAGTGTATGAACGAACGCTTTATGGTTTTTGAACATTTTGGTCATTAAATTAGCTTAGTCGCTAATTCGAAGATGTATATATCCTGTCTTGTTTAGGAACAACTACAATTTAGTATTCATTTGTTTTTGACTGGTTATTTCAGATTTGATTCATATGATTTTTAACGAAAAACTTTAAATTTTTCAGCACAATGGGAATTTGATACAGACATTCGATGCTTGATAAGTTGAGTTTTGACTCGAAATAACGTGCCACAACGATTTTCAGGCTGAAAAATTCATTTCTCTTTTTTTTACTTCAAATCTTCTTTAAAAGAAATTTCGAATCCTCTTTTATGCCTCTGTTTTCATAAAATTGCAATCGTAGGTCAGTCTACAATTTATTAAGTACTAAAAATTTATATAATGCGTATGATATTTATCACTACAGTTAAATTCTATGAGTATAATAGAACTAAACACTTGCGGTATTAATAAAGATTTTTTCTTTTTTAATAAAATTAATCAGCTGTAACTAAATATCCTCGTAAACACCATAGGATGAGATTCAACGGAATACAGCTGACGTCTTTATTGTTTTGAGATCATGAATTTAGTTACAACAAAGTACAGTTTTAGATACAATACAATTTCATTCTTAATGTATACATAAAATGGTTATCTTTTGATGAACAATTAGACATTTTTGGTAATAAAAACACATCATTTTATTTGATTAATTGTAGAAATTCAGTATATTGTATATATAGTTAGTTGTTCTAAAAAGTTTAAATTACCACTTAAGACAAGAGTCTTTTCTAGTGACACTTATAAATTAGAAAGTTACCTATTCTGTTTAATACATAGTGGCTATAGTTGGACAGCTGGTCACACTTCATAGAATATATTGAATTTCAGTCTTTTTTTCTTTCTTTTTTTCAATAGATTTGCTCATAGAGACTAATACGAAATTATTTTTAATACTGTCGAACTAGTTAGACAGTACGATTGACAATCACGTAATTTACAACAGTGAATAGTTAATAGAATTGAGAATAGAAATTTCAAACTATGAGATTAAGAACAAAGAAAAATTTTAAAATATTGTAACAGTTACGCTTAACTGGAAAGTTAACACGACAATTTAATTGTCTTTCGATTTCAAATAACATTTAAGAAAAGTCTATTGAGAATATTTTCTCTTCTTATAGACCTGATTATGCAAATTCGTGTTCAAAATGACTATTACAATTAAAACAAAAAAGATATACACACACACACACACACACACACCAAATTATGTAGAAAATAAAATAAAAGTGAATATACAAAAACATAGAAAATAATTCATTGACTGAATAAAATATGCATTTGACGATAATAATTTCATATCATTTGCATTAATAAAATTATATATTGCTTGAGCTATCCATGATGCTTCTGTATTTAGATTATGTGAACGTAATCTTTCAATTGGATAAGAAAATAGTATGGAATTAATTCGTCCGCCTAATGTTTTACAACTATGTATTTCTGTTGAATAAGTAGATGGACGATATTTAACATTAGAATCATCTGAATATTGTTTTGATAATGATGGGATAACATGTTGAAAACCGGCTAATTGTAAAAAATGACCGAGTGATTGATTACCAATAATAACACTTATTGGATCTACTTTTCTGACTAATAATTCCATAATCGTTGATTTCGATAGATTGAAATTTCGTAATTTCAATTCATTATAATCATATCCATAACCGAGATAGATTGTCTGTGAATATTTATGAAATACAAATTCAATCATTAGACCATAACGATATTGTGATTTAATATTTTCTTTAGACATTGCAATTAATCTATGATAATCCATGTAAAGACGAGTAGCACTTTCAAGTAAAAATGTACCCATAAGTAAATCTTCTGCCGGATCTAAATATTGTCGAGTTGCTTTATTTAAAATCGTATAAGGATAATGTTTAGTTAAATTTTTATATTTATCGGCAATAGCCAATGTTAAATAAAACATTTGTGATGTTGATATTCTTTCAGTGACACAACGAGCATCCAAATGATATATCAATGTATCATTTATATCTAATCGAAGACAATCTCGTTCAGTATATACACAACGTCCTAGAGTATTATTAAAACATCCAGCATTTGGTAATTTTTGTAATGTCGTTATATTTGTTCCAAGAAAACCACCATGAGGACAAGATAATATTAAATTTGAATAATTACCACGATTATAATCAATTAATGACATAAAACTTTTTTCATCATAATCACATGAAATAAATTTAATAATAAACATTAATCGAAAAATATTGTACATAATACATGGACGAATTTCAAATAGTAAAAATATTATTAGCGATATATCAAAATGCATACATAACAAATAAGAAGAATAAATCAGGTGTTGATTATTCAACATCAATTACATAAATTGACTCGATTAAACATCTGCTAAAAATGAATAGTTAAAAATTTTATATATATTCAATTAATTGAGATAAATAATTTTTAAAATTAAAGATAATTGTTAGAGTATTCCATTCTCTTACAAAATACTGTACTAGCTGATTTTCTTTAAGAAAATATTATTCTCCTTGATGGTTAGATATTCATCATTCTTTTGTTTTATTTTTTATTAAATAAATACATATTCTTCACTTACCATTACATATACGATGTGTAGAGACTAAATAGAATAATCATTATTATACGTATTCCAAATTAATTTCTTGCATCATCTTAGGAATGATCAAATTTTCAAGTGACGAGTCATCATAATTTTTCTATTTATACTGTGTATTATTTATTTTTTGTTCATTCTATCGAATGTTAACATAAAAAAACTATTTTTTTTATTTTTATTACATGTGTCTAAAGACAGACCAAGTGGTACCACGACGTTGTTGTTACGACATTAGCTCTAAAAATATCATCGTCACCAGGAAAAGGAACAAGAAAAAAAAAATATATTTTTTCTGTATCGTATTTTCCGTGTAGTTATAATAAAAAAAAAATAAAACGGGCAAAAAAATCTCTACACATAGATTGGAACCACAGGAGAGAGAGAGAGTGAGAGAATGCTCAAAAATAAATGTGAATACTGTGGCATTGTTTTTTTGACAAGGGAATAAGAAAAAATACTTTTTTATCAGTTACAGAAATAAAACAAAAAAGGGAGAAGGTCATTTATTCGCGTGTGTTACTAGTAAATAATAGGTGTAATCATCATCAGCGATATAACCTTGATAGGACAATTGATCTTTCAACTTAACAAGTGCCATATCTAAAAATAATGATATTGTATTAAGCGAGCATAGTTAACAAAATAAAGATTTGTAGAAGATAAATAATGTTTCACAATTTTCATTTCTCTCTTTTAAAGAACATCTTGACTTTCAAGCTGTATTGTCTAATACTAATCATTTACAAAAATGTTTTTTCAATTATATTAAATATACTTAGTTTTATAAGAAATGTAAAAAAGTCAAAGAATGTCAATATATTGTTTAATATATTCAAAACAATATAAGATCAAATTTTGATTATGTACAAGAGTGCAAACATATTTATTCTTTGCACACGCAATATAATAAACTATATTTTTGATTCATTTGTATAATATATCAAAAATGTCTTTCAAAAAGTTGTCATCTGTTGTTAAAACTCTATTTAAAGGTGATAAAAGACATGTACATGTATTTACAAAATTAGTTACTCATTGGTTTTTGTCCTTAGACAATTTGTACACATCGTTTATCCATTATTTTCTCTCTCAAAGAGTACTCTGATTGAGTGCGATAAGAAATCTATTTCTCGTTCTAATAGAAGAACCTTTGATATCGTTCACTACCTTTACTGCAAACTCAATTTTAACTACGGTGCAATCGTCTCGTTTAAACGAATAGAATCAAAATAGCATATATAACAACATATGAAATACTAGAGGCCATCGAAAAGTAAGAATGCATGACTGAAACTGAAGGAGAACAGAATTTCTGTTATGTCAACATTTGAAATTGTTATCCATCTTACTTCATAGACCCAATACTGTGTTGAGATGCGTTTTTATCGTTTACATAGAATCTTTTCTGCTTTAAAATCAACGTAAATTTTCAATTTTGAATACTAGTCAAATATTAGTATATAAAATTTGAATAGAATCTCTCATATAATGTCCACAATCGCTTATTTTCTATACACGTCTATAGTCGAAAGTATGGCACACTACGATTATATACAACTAAGAAGCTTATCGATACACGAAGTATTAGTATCTTTGATAGATGGAAAAATTTTGTATTCTTACTGTCGTATTAACAAACTAAAGCAAGATTATGTGCTCTCTTCTCTAACATGTAGTTAAAATTAGTCGAATAATTATTTTTTGTGAAATATAAATTAAAAATTTAAATATTGTTCGTTCATTCGTGCCTTCGATCATAACTAATGTATGTTGTTTTTAGATTCAACTGATATATTGAAAGTATTAATTTTCATAAGGTAAAACGTCTGATATACATGGCAGACAAAGAGAAAATGGTCCTAGTATAGCTACAAAAAACCACAACTATCATTATAACAATAAGTTTCTGTTATGTATCATCATGTCTTTGATTTATTAGATGATTTCAATCGGTGTTTAATAACAATAATAAGATTAACAATAGCGTATGATTATAACATATACAAATGAAAATGTGTTTGATGAAGAAAAAATAACAACTTGATGTGTCTAAAAGTATTTTCGTTAATCAATTAGATTTAGTGTGTCGAATAATTAATTACTATGAAAAAAACGAAATTTATGAGAGAGCCAATAATGTGTCTTTTCTATTAAGATTTAAGGGCGCTTTCTCTTTAAAATAAATTGAAATGATTTCATTCTGCTGTCAATAACTAATGTTTTGAGAGTAAAAGTTTTGAGTTTTACTAAAAACGTTTAAATGTTCGCCGCTCATCTGTTAACCACTGAAAAACAAATAATCAAATCAAACACGCGATCAAATTGCGTGTGTATATTTTGAGTAAAAAGTAGGAGTGGCGTATTACTGTTACTGTTATCAGTAATACAAATATTGTAGAGATTCCTATTACCGGTAACAATAATACTATAACAAGTATTCCTGTTATTAATAGACATATTCATAAAACTAGTATTACTTTTCAGTAAAAATACTAGAAAATTTTTCTCAAAAGAATGTTCAAAAGATTTTTTGACGTCTTGAATAAAAAGTGAATTTTTTAAGCAAAAGAAAATGTTTTTCAGCTATTTCCCTACTTTACTCATTTATTTATACGCATATTTCTTGGATTCTCTCATTCTATACAATGATATCTGATTATTTTCGAAATAAACTTGAAACAACACATCGTCGAACATTGAGATATATCTGCAATTTGGAACAAGTGTCAAATATGTTACTCTATGAACCCACACACGAACGTAGTATTAAGTAGAGAGATGACATCTGTATTCAAAAGTGACTGACTATTCATTATTCAACAAAATTCAAACACGCATATGACAACATTTATCAATAAAATAGACTTGCAACATCATTTAATACATCATTATAATAACAGGTCTTTTATACAACATCTGCCAGCTGAGTGTATGCGAAAGATAAAAAAAATACTTTTTAGTATTACTTTCTTTGGTAATGTAATACATGAGTAACAGTAATATGCTACTCTAATCAAAAGACAACAAAAGCAGTATAGAGAAAACTTTTCGAGATCTTTTGTCATCAGATAAACCAAACTCAAGTAAACAGGTAAAAATTTAATATGGCATATCATTTATAAACACCTAAGTGGTTGTAATCCATAGGGACGTAGCCAGCAGCTCAGAGCAGAGGGGGTAGTCCTGCCCCAAAACCTTTTTGTTCTACCCCAAACCAGTTTTTTTTAAGCACGAAGCCTTACGGACAATACCGGGTGATGCACCCAAGTTACTGCACGTTTTTTTGTTATTTATTGATCTTTTGCTAGTGTTCTTCATCATTAGGCTACATCAACGAATTCTGTTCATTCGTGTTAATGCTGTTTATAGCCTAATCTGTCCATCTTTAAGAAGTATTAAATCCATGAACAAACAACTAATAAACAGGAACAAAGAAAAGTACAGACACAACGACTATCTGACACCATGCTTTTTCTCTCGCACTCGTACTTTGTCTCACTTACTCAAAACCAATTACTCTGTGTACTGCACATAGTCTAAAAAAACGAAATACTAGACGATATGAGAATTTTGTCTTCTGTTATGTAGTGAAAGATTGCATTACTGTCAAAGATCAATTTTACGATCTCGCATTAATGTCCAATAAGCAATCAATTCTGCTAGATCCAAATGATCCAGTAAACTGTTTTCAACAGACCAGATCAACAAAAAAAATAATCAATCATTAGCCGTGGTGCTTCGTAGATAATTTTTCACCAGTTTCCGTTTCGAGAAGGAACGTTCATTGGATGCTACGGTGACTTGTAACGTTAACATAAATTCATATACACGAGCAAGACATGTATAACGTAAGTGAACGCTTTTTAGCATTTTTGATACTGCTCTCATATCAGTACATTCTTTAATTTCTGATGTTAGGTGTTGAAATTCTTGAAATAACAATAGTGAGTCATCTGTTCCAGGTATCAATGCCATTAATTCATCGGCTTCTGTTTGACTAAACTTTTCGATTGTTAGTGGTGATATATATCTGAACGATTTAATCTTGAATTGAGTATTTCAGAATAATCATTGTATTGATCATGTAAATGACCACTGAACATACCGATATTCGATTTATGACCACCATATGGAATGAATATTAATTTTTGAACTCAATTCTTGATTCAACAAAGTTTTAGCACCAATGCTCACACCCGTCATAACTATGTCCAATTATTTTGGATGTATCAATATTGAATTTTTTAAACGAGTTTAGCATAAAGCTAACAATATCTGCTCCAACCTTCGATGCTAGTTCATCCAATTCGGCCAGACGTTCTTCAATTTCAAAATTCCTGACAGAACGTACAATAATAGAATACATCTCCCGTTTAGAAACGTCTGGGATCGAATCAGTCGTTACGGAGATGTAATTCTTTTAACAGTAGCCATTATTATACAATTTTTATTTCAACAAAATTCTTTTATTTATTAGACAACGTTTTGGTCTTCTCATAAAAGATTGTCAAGGACATTTATAATTGAAATTTATAGTTATACTACTAGTAGTTAACCGTGTATATATATATATACACTAAGACCGAAGAAACGAGAAAATACAAGAAAGAACGTTCTAAATGAACAGATGTGATGCGAAGAAAATTACTGTTTGGCTTTTCTCATTCTCTTTTATTTTGTACTCTACCATCGAGGTCAAACTTCTTTGTCCGAGAACATCCATCTATTATAAGAACAATTGTTGCAGTTTTAGCCTGTCTCTGAGATCTCTCATTTGACGTCGATGACCGTTGAGGATTATTGATTGTTGCACAAGGGATAGAAAAAGTTCGGGTGCTGTTAAAAATATTATAAGTGGAATATAATGCATATTGGACAACATTCATATTGGACAACATATAATGATCACTAGGAAAGCTATGTTTTCTAAGTCAGCGACATGCCTAGCCAATATATTTTAGTCTAAATAAATAATGTTAGTCACATTAGATCGCATGAATTTTTCTATTTTATCTTTTAAATTCAATGTAACTTGGACTGGTGAAAGTGGTCTCTGAATGGTAATCACTTCAGTGTCAATTTGAATTGGTCTAGTAAACTTCTTTAAATCACAAATAAATTACTAAATGAAAATTCAGCTTCTACATGCTATAAGATGTATCAAAAATTTTATGATCAAAATTATGTGACCATCCCCCACTAACTTATGCTCTTAGCAATCCAATACGCCACTCAAAGTCGAACTATTCTATTTTGCATTCATCAAGTCTCTTTCTTTTTATAACAGATTTTCAATGAGATATCTGTTCAAGACCAGTGAGCTCTTATGATTAAATCAATAGTATTACACACAGATTTTTCGAATATCAGTCACACAAAGTTTTTCCATATGTATCTACAACGGCGTATTAACGGATATGGTAGGTTAAATTGTTGATTTTTGAAACGTTTTTTCTCCAAGTTACACATGATCAGAAAATGTTTTGTTTTAATACTGAAAGCTAGAGAATCGAGATTCTAATCATACGTTTTTGTTAAAATACGTATTTTTGTTCGTTTTTTTTGCAGAAATAAAAATACTGGAAACCACAAAGAGCTTCATTGGCTTGGTACTTTGCTAAAACAAAATGTGATTTCTGGCTGTTGAAATAATTTCGCTGAACAATTAAAATACGGCACTAAAAACTGACCTAAAGTCTTAATTTTTTAGATATAAAACGAAATGCTGGGAGTTACGATTATAAAAATTGCTTACAAAATATATTTCTTTATCAGCCTTCGGTGTCATTCACTGTCCAAGCGAATATCTTAAGTTTATCATTTATTATCGAATCGTGTCAACCCGTAGAAAGAATGGTATCTTGTAGATTCTAAAACTCTGCATCTCTGTTAACATCGAAACAATGTTTTTTCTATATAGATAAATAAAGTAGAAAAGCACCAAAAACAGTGCTGTAGGTCGAATATGTTTTCCCCCTGTTTTGAATATTCAAAAGCAAGGGCGCCCTTAGTATATCACTATAGTATATCACTATATTCACCAAAAAAATTCTGCATCTTTTATTACTAGAACTCTACATTGAACTCACATTAATGAGATAAAAATCTGTTTTCAAAAGTTTTCGATTTTTCATTTGAGCAAGTGAGCTCTTTGTGGTTTCTAGTATTTTTAATTCTGCGAAAAAACAGAAAATACTTATTTTAACAAAAATATACGATCAGAATTTAAATTCTCTGTCTAGCAGTAAAACAAAAAAAATTCTCTAATTAAAGATGAGAACATAAGTATAGAGCACTTCTATTTTCGACTTTTTTCGTTGACGAAAACCTTTTTTCATATTGGTTCAAAATAGAAGTGCTCTAAACTCAAGTCCCTAACTTTATGTGTAACTTGGAAAAATGCTTTTTTATACGTGTTTTTTTACTTTCCAACAATAATAAATATAACAAAAACTATAACAATATCAACATTAATACAACTTCAACATAGCACTAATTAGACCAACAATAATTGTAAAAAATATAATAATTAGAACAACATTTTGACTGATATATTGCATTAATTTTTCTACCGAATTTTTTGAGGATAATAGAGACGTATCACCATTATCATTTGTATTTGTTGTATTAAATTTTTTCGTACATTCTTCTGTTGTCGATTCTAACGGAAACTCTTCACCAGCTTCTAAATCTTCTTCATTAAGTTCTAAATAAAAATTTTCTTTAATACAATCGGCTACTGCTTGTATTGGTTCATTGGATAATTGATATGCGGTAATAAATAATGGTAACGTCTTTTTCTGATTGATTGTTGTATAAAAACGTCTTGGTAAAACTAGTTGTGGATGATTATTTGTCAAAACTAGACCATCATTAGCGGTTTCATTCTCATTTTCATTTTCATTATTAAGCAATGCAAGATTAAAACGAATTAACATTGTACGATATAAATCTTCAATAAAATATTGGCGTAATTCATTACCAGTTATTTTTGATATTGTTAGATAAGCACGTAGTGTTAAACTCCCTTGAAGTTGACAACGTATTCGATCATTGTTTGCATCATCATCTTTTAAATTCATCTCTATTGGTGAAAGCCATTTAACATCAACTTGTTGTGACGGTTGTTGAGGAAAAATTGGCGCATTCATTAAGACTAAACGATTATCCACCATTAATAAACTTTCCTAGAACAAACAATAGTTTTTTTAAAAGTCAAGTACCGTACCGAAAGATGTTATGCCGAATACCAGAGTCCTGACTCTTTTTACAGCTACCAGGAGTTAAATGAACATTTTTCTTTATATTAACGATATAAGTGTATTACTTTTAGATTATCTGTATAAATTTTCCATTGTTTTTCAAATTCTGTTTCAATTTGTTTCATATTAGTATTCTTTATTATCGGTGTTAACCAAATAAGTAATTGAATGGGTATTATTGTTCTTATAGAATAACTCATTGTTTCTTTATTATAGGTTTTTAAATCAGCTGTACGAAAATTAATTTCATCCGTGTTCATATCCAATGTTTTTACTATCCATTTTGAATTATTACCATATTCACTTTGTAATAGTAGACGATGTGACGATTGTTTTGAACTAAATGGAGAATACATTGTTAATGAATGTTGTAAAATATCGAATAGACGACGAATTTTTAATGAAAAATTTGATGATTTCAATATATCCGATTTCATTTTACAATAGAATCCAAGAATTGTTACACCCGCACAAAGATTTGTTGTTAATTCAGGAATTTTTTCCTGTAATTTTTTATTTGATTTTCCAAAAATTGTATCAAAACTATTCACATCCAATGGCGTACCCAAATCTTTGGTTATATCAACAATAAAATGAATATAATCTTTCTCTTGATTTGTTAATTGACCACATAATAAACCAAATGTAAAACTATTTGGTGATATGACAGACAATTGCTCATTTAATATTGATGTTTCAATAAACACTGTACGCCCCATGACAAAAATGATCTAAAATTACAATCGTTTTTGAATAATAATTCGTTTATTTTAATTTTTAGTATCAAAATAAAATCGTATTAATATTCAAAAAAATGATCTATTCAAATTTATTCAAATAATAGCAATAGTCCAAAAATAATTATTTACAACAGTTAATTGTCTAACAAAAAGAGAATAGATGACATTATTCAAAAATGATAATCTGTTGCACTAAAATTTGTTGTCTCATTTGTTGGATGTGCATCAGCCATTAAAAACAGATCATCATCTATATTCATTGCATTTATACTCTCATTATTGCTGTTGTTCATGTTTGTAGTAGTGTGACTAGGCGGAGGAGATGGAGCATTCAAATCAAATTTTGCTAAATTAATATGTTTTTTTAATAAATGTGTTTTTGATATTAACTCATTATTCGTTCGATTTAATTGTTCTTGTTGTTCATTTACAGAATAGTCAATACCATCGATTTTTTGAATAATATCATGGCATAATTCAAATTGTTTTTGTAATTCGTCTAGTTTTATTTTGACATCTGATGATTTTTTTTCTGTACTAAAAAAATGAACAATTGCGTGTATAAAAAGCGAAATAAAAAAATATTGTATTTATATATTTACTTTTTCAGAATATCAGTAAGACGTGGTAAAAAATTAAATGTTTCTTCATCAAAATTTTGTTGTTGATCTGTTTTGACATTTGTTGTGGTTGTTGGTACATCCGATGAATTCATTGGATAATTCGATGCAACCGAAGGAAATGCTAACGCCATATTTATTCTTTTCTAAAACGAACATGATACATGAAGAGTAGTAAAATATGCATTTTTATTCAGAACACACATTGGCGAGATGCTTGCAACGTATAATTTTATGCAAAAAATGCTAAAAATCAAAGAAGTAGACTATATCTCAGCATCTTTTCAGTAGAACATAGCCATATTTATCGTTAAAAATAAACCCAGTGCTGTTACTCTTTATTTTATTTATTTTGTTTGTTTTTTATTCTTTCTTTACTATCTCTCTATTTGAGTACACTAGTTTACTTTTTATTTTTATTTTTCTACTTATAGACTCTTTTTGTTGTTGTTTGGCTCGAGTCATTATTTTATAGGTCGGGAGCCTTTAATGACTCTCACTTTTCGTGAATAAATTCATTCATTCATTCAGAATACAAAGCAGAAGTAAATCCATTATAATATTCTAAAACATAGACTAATTACATAACATAAGATCAATTTACAGTTTAATGATACATTTAAAAGTATTTGCGAATGTCAATAAGTATATTGCTGGTAACATGGTTTCATCTGGATAGCTCTTGTCTTCATCTGATTTTGATTGTCTCCAATTATTTACAAATATTTCAAGATTGGATGCACTTTACTATACAATAATCCACTAAATCCTTTGCGTTTAAATCTTCCATTGACTTTTGCTTTTCTCCATAGAATATGAGCAGTATTTTTTCGCCATGAGACAGTGAGAATATTGTCTGCTTCAACAATTAATAGGGTTACTCATTTTTGAGTATTATAATACAAACTGTTTTCAAAAAATTGTCCCGTGATTTATAATCGAAACCATACTTTAAAAAGTAATCCTGATTATTGTTGCATATGTCAAAATACCTCGCCTATATCAAAAAATTACAGCTATGGCTGTTTTATTTCAGACTAAGACTAATTTATTCACCAAAAGTGAGAGTCATCAAAGGTCATCGACCTATAATCACAATGAGTCAAGTCACACAACAACAACAACAAGAAACTATTCATAGAGAAATTAAAACCCCCCAGAAAACTAGTGTATGAGGAGAGTTAAAAACAAATAAACAAAACAACAAGAGAACAACAGCACTGGGCTTGTTCTATAACTGTAGACATGGCTAAGTTTTACTGTAAAGATGCTGAGACAGCAGCTATTTTGAATGACGACAAAGATGAATAAATGACTGATTCTGGAAGTTTATTCCGGTCAGTAACTGTTGAATATAAGAAGGAAGAAGAAATAAGTGTTTCATGAAAATATGTTAATCTACTATAATTTTGAGGCTATGTGACAATATGCAAATGAATATTCAAATACATGTGTTGATCCGACTGAGTTATACGAAATCAATGATTTTTTCATCTTCATTAAATCCAAATATGATTCGATGACTTTTCTTTCGTTCTGTGGGTTTTTATCTAATCAGAAAGTGAAAAATGTGGTAATGAAAATAAGCCTGACAGAATTGTTGACACTCATTCCCACAAACTTAGCCCTATACTGGCATCTTTGAGTTAGTTCCATCTAATTCATTTTTACTGTCATTTAATGGATTTCAATTAGTCAGGAAAGTGGAGCAATCGTATTAAAGCGATAGACGGCAGGATAGTTCAGGCTACTAAATGGATTGTTGCTAGTATAGTTCTGCTGATGTACAAACATAAGAGTGACCATCGTAACTTACTCATCTCGACTTTTTTTCTGAATGGTAACAATTTCAAATTTTATTTGTTAATAAACATCAATTCTACAACAAAATACTCTTCTAAAATCTATACAACAAAAAAATTATTTTATAAAAGTTGATAGATCAAATTGATTTCTAAGAAAGATAAACACAAAAAAATACATCTCTAACATACATAAAAAGAAGTACCATACAAAGTAAATTTTTTTCAATATATTTGCTAGGTTTGATAAAGAAAACATATTCATGAAATTTTAACTGTTACTTTTGCTGATGAGGTTTATGTTTTAAAGATTTATGCAACTGATGATTTCGATCTGTCGGTTGATTATCTTTCACGGGTAGTATGTCTTGTTGAATAACAGCACGACTTGATGACAATAAATTTTTCATTTCATATAAAACTTGATTTATTTGTTTTGTAACGTATGGATTATAAATATCTGACTCAGTATTAAGTTGTTTTTCTAAAACTAATTGCTGAACAACATTATTATTATCGGATGGTTGTATTTCATGATCTAGATAACTTGGGGTTGGAGTTGAAGTCGCACGTATTGGCAATATTTCCTAAAAACAGATAATTAATGGCTAAGAATTTTGAGAAACAGAAAAAGATATTTTTGTATTATATTTTGACCAATAAATACTTACGTCATTCGAAGGACGTACTTTAGATGTACGATCATTCAGTTCCCTATATTTATCACCGTCACTTAATCCGTTTTGTTTTACTTGTGACTTAAGAACAGCATTTAGCTTTATTAACTGTTGATTCATATCATCTTTTTCCTAAAAGAACACAGTGGCATCAAAGTAAATATATATTTTAGAAATGAAACGGAAAAAGCTTGCTTTCTGCAATCTGTTATATTGTTCTTCTAATAAACGTAAATCACGCTGTAATTCATCTATTTTCATGTTGCCAATACTCTCTTTGTTTGTCATAGATTCGGTGAATTGTCGCAATGCAATATTCTCTTGTTGAAATACTAAAATAAAAAAAAGATTACAAATTCTTGTACAGTACTATCTATTAAACTGGAAATTCTAGCTGGAACTGCTTATCTAAAAACAGTTATTTTTTGTGTATTGTGTTTGTAGAACTCCACACAAAACTGTATATGTATAAAAATGGAACTCACATTGTTTCTCATGCAATAGTTGTTCCAGATGTTTATCTTTTTCATTGCCTATTGTATCGAGTTTCTGACTCATTATCTTGACCTCTTTTTCATATTGAACAATTGTTTCTCGTCGTGTTTGCAATTCCTACATATTGACGTAGAAAAACAACAACTGTGTATCGTTGTTTAAACTAAGAGTCACATCGTTACAAACCTTAATCAAAATTTCTTTATCTGTTAATGCTGTTTCATAATGTTTTTTTAATTCATTATAATGTTGTTTTTCCATATTTAGTTCATGTTCAACATGAGCAGATACGGTAGTTTTCTCTGAAAATTTTAGTTGTATGTTCTGTAATTCATTTTTCATCTTTTCAGTCTGTCCAATAAGATTTGCATTTGTTTCACAATATTGTTCGTTTTCTGCCTACAGAATAAATGATAAAGATATATAGATAAAACAAAAGCTAAAAGTAGAAAGATATATACTCGAAGATTGGCAGTTTCTGAACTATGTTGTTTTATGATATCAGTTAACATTGTTGTTTGTAAAAGTAATGCATTATATTTATTACTAATTTCTGAGTAAGACTGAAATAGTTGATCGTTTGTTTTTATTAGTTCTTTGATTCTCATATGAAGAGGCATTGGATTTAACAAATTACTTGAATATAAAAGAATGAATTACTTCTTTCATATGATATATACATTTATATATATATCTAACCTAGTCTTATCATCATCGCCCATAATACTAATGATCATTTCATATTGTTTAGATACATCCATGAGACGACTCACTTTGAGTGAGACGATCGACGTCATTTCTTCGAGTGAGAACTATAAAATAACAAGAAAAAAATATTAATTTTAACAAATTACTTCAAAAGTATAAATACAACTTTTGATAGAATATGTTCGGGAGATACAAGTGAAAACCAATGTTTTAATTGATTTTGATACTGTTCACATTCACTGAGTCTATCACATGCAGCTGTCAACTTCTGTGATAATTCTGAATAATCTTTTGACTGTAGAATAAAAGCATTTTGAGATCGCTGAAGATCATTCTAGAATAATCAAAACCGTCCATTATATTTTTCAATAATTAAATGTCTACATACATGAAGCGCAGAAATTTGAAGTTGTAAATCGTGTTTTTCTTTGATTAATTGTTTATTACTATTATCAATTTGTCTATTTTGATTTTGTAATGTTTCAAAACTTTTTTCAAACTGTTCAAACTAAACACAGCAGAAAAAAATATTAATGTAAACAAACAAATAAATAATTTCTTACCTTTATTTGTAAATTTTGTTGGTGAACATTGTATTCTTTTTCTCTATTTCCAAAACGGTCGTTCATCTCACGCAGTAACTCATCTTTAACGCGTAACTTTTTTTCATAGTTTTCTCTAGACAAAGAAAATCAATCACATACTCACTACTATAATAACATTAATTTTTTTTTATTAGTTTACTGTAGTGTTGTTAAATCGGTTTTCGATTTTTCTAATGTTTGCATAATTTTTGTTGTTTCTTCTCGTTGTACGTTGAGACGCTGATCATAAGAATGTCGAACGTTAATTATACTTAACAAACCCAAAAAATAATATTATTTTTTTCGTTTTTGAGACTGATAATAGATACTTACGTACTTTTGTTCAAAATCTTGCGTTAAATTATTCAAAAGTTGTTTATTTTCATTCAAAATATGTTCTTGTTGATCTTTCAACTAAAACACAATTACATATAAATTGCATTTAGATATGATGCTATTTTGTTTTGAAGCTTACATAATTAATCCTTTGTTTTGCATGATATAATTCTCCTTCGTAATCTTTTAGACATTGAGCAACAGCCACTATCATCGACGACAAATTAATTTCTCTTGTATGATCATTAGTGAAGTAGGATTTTTCTAGAAAAAGCAAAACTTTTTGCTATTGATTTTTATGATACAATAATTTAAATAAAATTTGATCTTACCTCGTTTCTTTTCCTCTCGTAATATGATCTCTTGTAAACTATTCAGAAATGTGTCCAGTGACTCAGATGAAAATTCGTTCTTTTTATTTATTGCTGTATCATTGATTTTTGTACATTGAATTAATTGATTTGACAATTGTAACTGTGAATTTTTTGTTGTAATTTGAATACTATCCATATGTGTTAGTCGTCTAAAAAAGAGCATTCGTTCATGATAATATCAGTTTTCCCGATCATGTTACTGTCTACCTTGGCATTTGTTGATGCTCCTGTAATTGTTGTTCGAGCATTACAAAGCGATTCATGTATGATTCACTTAGAGCTCTAATTTTTTTTTCATTTTCTTTCATCACGTTTGTAATATCTGACGTATTATCACTACTAGCACTAAGTGTATCGTCGCCATAAGCAACAGAATCTTGATCATCGTCAATATTATTTGGTAAACTTGCATTCTCTAACCGATTTATGTCTGTCTGATCACTTCGCTCAGTATCGGAACCATGATAAAATTTGTTTTCTTCGGCACTCTTTGCTAGTTGTTCTATTGCTTTAGAAAATCGATCGCTTGGAACAACAAAATATTGTTGATTTCTTTTTGTTATGCCTTTAGCTGTCATTTGCGTTATATTAGACGCAGTTATAATACGTAGGCTGAATAGAAGAATAACGATAGATGATTACTCCTTGTATGACTGCCATCTTTACTACATAAGAAGAAACCGTAACCAAGTGATGAACGCATATATTGTCCGTTTCAATCGACTTGGAATTGCAAGAATTATTCTTCATTTATTAGTTTATCGATACACAAACCAAAATCAGAGGTAATTTGTGGATCATCTTAGGCAACCGCACACTATATGAGATGAGATGATTACAAGTAGCGTTCATCATACTAATTCACTTATCTCTTGACTGGAAAGGAATCGCCAGTATCAGTTGCTTGCTTCGACGTGCATTCCCTAACTCGCTGAACTTTCTTCTGGCCAAAGCAGTTTTTTTCTTAATGATCACTTACCATGAGCGGGAGCTTTCCTCGGTAAACACCGGCCGATATGGAAAATAGTGTTCGTATGCATAATATTAATAATGAATTAGCTTGGATGGAAGTTTTAAAATGGGAAGCATTGCATGCCAAAGAATGTATGCATCCAAGATTAAAAAGCTTCGGTGGTAAAGCAAAAGACTTTTCACCACATGCACGTATACGAAGTTAGATGGGTTATAAATTGCCATTTGACAGACATGATTGGATAATTGATCGTTGTGGAAAATCTGTTCGTTATATTATCGATTATTATGATAGAGAAAATTTGGATCATGAAACATTGACATTTACAATATTAGATGTTAGACCGGCATTTGATTCATTCGATGCTGTGTGGGATAGAATGCGAGCGATGTGGTAGAGATGGACGTATAAAACTGATGATAGTCTCCGAGATGAATTGATCAAAGTAGCAAAAAAAGATTTAGATTCTAAAGAAGCGGAAATTATTCGCTCCTAGTCAGTCCGTTGTCACGCTTTCTGGCCCGAACAGCAATATGGTCCGATCGAGCAAGGAATATCTTACCCGTTTCGGCAAGATTTTCACATTTTTTTCTTTCAACGGATTAGCGCATAAATCAAAGCTATGCCGTATGTAGACACTTATTCCACGTGATAGTGGCAAAAGCTGCATCAAATAGAATTTTCCCTGGATGATACGGTTCTTTCTTGTACGGTCAGAAAATTGACCAACTATATCTGCCTCAGGATTACCTTGCCTGATCGGGCAAACTTGCCCGTTCGAGCAATATTTTCCGATTAGGCAAGGACAAAAGATTTCCTGATCGGGTAAGCTACCTTATCCGAACGGGCAATCTCAATCTGGCCTGAACGAGCAATATTGCCAAATCGGGCAAGATAAATTGCGCAAAATTGAGCTATGTTGCTATTCGTCTCTGTCATAAAAAAGAAAGAAGGTTGAACATTTAACTTTAATATACAGTGAATAATCAGTGCACGAGGAGTAGAATGAACACTTCTCGCCCATTAGACGACTGATAGTTCTCGAGATCAGACCTTGCCCGAACGAGCAAGTTGCCTGTTCAGGCAATATTGCCCGATCGGACAAGTGACAGTGAGCTGCCTAGTTGTAGTAATATGTATTTGTGACTGTGTAATTCTATTCAATAATCTGAATTGTTTTCTTAGAAGCAATTATTTTTCACGTTTTTTAAAGTACATGTGTGTTCCGTTCTGACTCTGTACCCTATATAGATCAAAGATATTTATTTCAAGATAGAGTGAACCTTTAGAAGAGGATATGCTAATGCATCTTCGCTGTACCGTAGTTTTATTAGTACGATACTTGTTCAATTTTTCAGATTACACGCGTGCTCTTGAACACGAGTATTAGTGATATAAATTTTATTCTCTTATTTATCTGATTTTCTTATGTCAAAACCACGAGTAAGAAAGTAGATGAATATATTTTGTTTGCAATTGTTTTTTAACTTTTTCTATTAGGTAAAATTAAATGAGAGTAATGCTCAAAAAAGATTTTTCATGTCAGCGATCAAACGTGTGGAAAATGAATCAGAAATCAGGTATTTTCTGTTGATCTCAAACTCAACTGTTGTTCGTAAAAAAAATCTATCTTTTCTGTTACAGAAATAACAAGAATTTTATGATAAATGACGAGAAATGGTATGACCTTGAACAACGAACTGATGAAGTATTAGTTCCTTCAAAATGGGTTGAACGTTTAGAAGAAAATAATCTTATCCATGAACAATTACAAGTAACAAAAAATAGAAGCGATACTTCTCCATAAGATTTTATAGGATGTTCGTCTTACTTTTTGAGATGCTGCGAGAGAAAGCGAACAACTTAGGAAATAATAAGTAAGTTTGACAGATTTTTTTTGATTTGTTAATCAATATAGTTTTCTATCTTTCAGTGCAAAACCCATGTCTGCCGAAAATCGAGAAAACCATTATTGCACAGCTGCAATTCAAAAGCTCCGAAATAATGAATTTAATAAACGATTAAGAGCCCATCAAATGAGATGGGTATGTTTGATATCGAGTCAGATATGCTTCTATTCATTTTGTGTCTCTTTTTTTTAGCACTCAGTAGTTCTTATTGGTGAAGTGGCTTCGTCTCTGCCGTTGCATACATTAGATGCAACGGAAATTGAAAAACAATTGTACGCAACATTGAGAAAATAATGAATATTGAATATTGCTGGCATATACTCTAATCGACATAGTATGACTAAGATTACAATAAGAGCGCATATATCGTCAGATGAAATATTAAGAGTTCCTGGTGAATAAGAAAAAGTCCAAATGTTACTTACAGAAACTATTATCAATAAATACGCATCATTTTGTATGTTTGAAGTTTTGTTGTGATCTAATGAACGTGTATAATTTCATTTTTATTTGTTTGCTTTAATAGTAGAAACGAAAATTTATTTATTTGTATTTCGTGTAGCGAATCCGTAGTTTCAGCGAAATCTACAGTACTTTTGGGTATACGTAAGTGTCTTTGTTAATAAGAACTACGTTGACAATATAGTTTTCTTTATCCAGTAGTTTTGTATCCATCACAAAAACTTGCATTTTTTGCGCATTCAAGGTATTGCATTTTTTACTGTCCTATTATGTGATTACTTTGCCTTCATCTATTTGTAGATTATAGAGATCTGTTCTAATTAAAAAAATAAATCATGCTTCGTCGTCCATTAACACGTATGTATCGTCCGTTTTTCTATGTACTCGAATGTTTTCTCAATACTTCCACATTTTCTCTCTCTTTAGGAATCGATATTAAAGTCGATGAAATTGAAGATTTAAATCAGATCATTCTAGAACGTAAAGCTCAAAATCAAAAACCGATATCCTCATCTGTCAATGTTTCATTTACACCGGCACTCACTCTCCCAATAAATTTTATTGCTACACCAAAGTAGAGGTATTTTATAATACTGATTCGTTTTTTAACGATGTTACATAGAATTTGTTTACTCTAGCATTTTTTAACATTTTTTTAACAGTCTGATATACAATTATGCATGTAGATGTTAAATTTTATATTTTTTGAGAAAACAATTTATTTGTCCTGTTAATATTTTTATTTTTGTTCAATGTTCAATAAATAGTAATCAAGTGATAGATGAAAGGAATTTTGTTTAATACAACTACAGCAATTGCTATAGTAATCATGTAATATAATGGTAATTTATAACCCGATGTGTGCTTTGAGCACTCGTCTTTTTATTCTATCTCGTATAATAGCTCAAGCTATTGGCTAGCATGGGATTATGAGTCAGAAAGTAACGAAAAAAACTTTTTTTTCAGAAAACAGAGAAAAGATTTCATTTGAGACTGAACATTTGGTGAATGACTGTATTTGTGCATACCACTTTAAACTGTAGGTTGTATGGAGAAATGTGCTCTGTCTTTGAATATAATTTAGGCTGAAATGTTCTAGTTTCATGTGAATTATAGAGATTTTTTAGCTAGTCTCAATATTTTCTAAGCTTCGTTTCTGTACGCATTGTCACACGGCAGTTTTCTCCGAATAGAATTCTTAATCGTTAAAATCCGAAAATATTTTATACAATAATGCAGCATACAGATGTTGATACGTGATTGAATTTCTTAGTATCACGTTAGTTTTTTTCCTTCATTCAGGAAAATAAAAAAGTGAATACACTTGAGTTGAGGAGTGAAACAGTCTAAATACGAGCAGTCTTGCAGATCTATGAAGAGTTTTCTAAAAATAAGCAGAATATAAGGCGCTGTGTCCCTGAGGTACTCGCAAATCTTTGGAGAGGATTAATGTAATTTTACATCGTTTGTAATCTGTTACATAAGAAGTACATGAGGAGAAGCCTCGTTGCCTCATTTGCTGAGAATGAACCTCTTTTACTGTTTTGTTCGTGTTATGACAGAGCTCACGGCATACATATATACAATAAAACAACGGGGTAGTTCCCACAACCTACTTTTAACGTTTTTTATGCTCCCATGTGGGTTGAAAATTTGAGACGGTACTAGACTGAGAGGTACTTTAGTAATCGAAGGATGTATATATTTTTTCATTGTCATAGTGGAAGTTTTCACAGATTAAGTTCAACTCGTATACGTGCATTAAATACCTCGTTCCTAAAATAGATAGAAGTCAGCTATTTAGTTATTGTGCGTTGAGAGTTCTTATCACGAGCTATGTATGACAAACACAATTAGATATTGAAGATGTATTGCGAGCTAAATCGATATTTCAAAAATATCATCAATTCTCAAACGATTACCAGGAAAAAATTTCAGTACGGCGTTGTTAATAATCAGTGCGGCACTAGTGCTAATCGGCACAGGTGCCAGTGACACACAGTATACAATGCGCACTGAAATTTTTTTACAAGATACGTTTGTAAACTTATCTCTTTGTTTTCGATCACATCGAATTAATAACATTCTCAAACTAATAAAGTTATTGCGCTAATAACCTACATTCAATTTGAACTAATGAGAGAGAGAGAGCGTAACCAAAGAGTAGCAACCAGGATGTTTTTATCATTAGTTCAGATAGATCCAGCATGCTGTGAACCAGAAGGATTTTTAGAGAGAGATATTTTTAGCTTGAAAGATCAAAGTGTTGGAAAATCTTATTGCGTTAAAATCCAATTGCTTCTATCTAGGGTGCTATTTGAACAAAACGTACGTATTCATTTACTCATAAAAGAATTCTACCGTACAGTACGTAGTTTTCTACGAACGTTTACTTTTAAAAGCATAGAAAAAATGAGAAAACTTGTCCTTTTTTAACGTTGTCATAATAAATATAAAAAAGATGGGAGAAAGTTCACAACATAAATCGACAACTCTAACAATAAAAAGAACAAGCACATACACAACACTTCCTTTTAGGACTACAACACGAAAAAATGTTTAAAAAAAGACAAGAGAAAGACAAGAACACGGCTATTAGTCTGTGAGATTGTTTTTTTCTTATTCTGTCTCTTCTTCTGAACTACTTTGATTATTTAGATCTAATTGATTACCAGTTAAAATTGGTCGCTGTTCAATATGTATACGTCGTGTTGTTGTTGTCGTTGTTGTAGTTGATGGAACAGTCGTGAATGACGTTGCTAATAAAGGCGATGTAGAATTATGACGTGGCATCTTTTTTAATTCAGCCATTGTTCTATCGTTTGGTGTTATGCGGCCAACTAACTTTGTTATCAAAACATTAACAAATACAAGTAAACGTTGTGCAATTGTCATGTTCAATATAAATAATGGTTTAACCATATCTTTGAAGAATGTTGTTGACATTTTTCCAGTTTTCAATTTTGATAATTTATTTTGATCAGTGATTGTTCGCATTTCAGTATTGGTTTCACTTGAAGTTGTTTGTTGACATTTTGTTAAAATATCCTCATTTGAAGTTTTTACTTTTAATAAGATAAATACAACAAGTAAACGAAACCAGGCCAATGATTGATGAAACGATGAATAGAATGAATCTAATGCAAATTGAACGATAACCATTGCGGCATCTCGTATACGTTGAACTAATAAACTCGATCGTTGACCAAAATCTTTCCGCTGAACAGGACGTTGAAACACAGGTTCTAAACAGAAAAATGGTAATGACTATTGACGTATCTATCCTTATCTTAGAAGTAACTTGGCACATAATTTTCTTCTTACATTCACAAAGTGACTCTAACTCTTAAATAAAACAAATGGTATAGTTATCCTTTTCTTTCCCGTCAGTATCTCTCATAACAGTTTACCTCTATCAAGTATACACTTCAAAAAGAGGACTGAAAATTTTTGCCAATAATATTTAAGAGTTTAAAATGAACTTACTTCCAGGTACATGTGTTTCACAGAAAGTAAAAACTGTATCTGCTACGTCAGTTGCTCTATTGACGGTTGCATTTGCGGCACTCGATACCTAAAAATGATATATATCTCAGTTGAAGCTATTATGCTAGATTGATTCATAACAAAATTCGCTTGCCCTCTCTCTTCCTAGTTGAAGTTTCGATGTCGTTGTATCTTTTACAGCATTCATTACTTGTCGAACTGGTTCAGTTTTTCCATTGAGTGACTCAACAACCTTCGGAGAAAAATATATGCAGTATGATTATATTAAGTGAGTAGTTTAATTTATCCATACCTCTTTTGTTGGCGTATTGATAACTGGATATTTTGCTTCAATTTGTTTAATTTTTTGTACAGCATAATCATCGAGAGCCTTTACTAGAATAAAAAAAAGCTCTATTTGTACACATACAGTTTTAATTCTGTTGTTCAAACATACCTGGCCCACTAAATGGTGTTGCAACTACAGCAGCTATTTTAATTGATTTATCAGCAACTGTTTCAGCTAAATTACATGGGACTCGGATAAATGCGCTAGTTTCTTTGGCTTTTGCATAGACATCTTGTATTACGTCTGTTGATGAGCGCACGACTGGAAACATTCAAAATTCAATTAATTCAGGATTAAATTTTTTTCAATTCTTTTCAACTTACCAGGTATATCATGGATGCATGAAACAGTCTGAATTTCAACCATTTTTACTTAGATGAACAAATAATCAAAAGGAATAAATAAGAAAATAATCTATAAAAATTTTCCTAGGTCGATGAGAAATATGTTAGGAATAGAGACACATTACGAATTTAGTTTCTTTTTATACAAGAACAAGCGAACAAAGGTTGCTCAGATAAGAAATAAATAGATGACTCATTTACAAGTCTCATCGAACATGCGTATAAAGAATGAAAGAACAATAGTAAATATTACAATCGAATGGATATCAGAGTTCAAAGTTTGGTAGTGACAAGCAAACACATGAACTTTAACATTATCTATTTGCATCCCGGGACAAACAAGAACTAAATGAAAAGTGACGAAACAATTTAAATATTTGCTCTAAAAGTAATGATTATTTAAAACGAATCTTTGAACTGAGAGAAATCAGTCATAAGCATTCTAGTTGATAGTCAAGTCCGAACAATTAGAAGAATTTTGTGTACTCCATAGAAAATCTCTGATTCATTCGTCATTTTGTTTTATCACTTTACATCCTACATGAGATGAAAAACATTTTTTAAAGATTTTCTCTCATGTGTTGTCGTAACTGTTGTCTTTTAGTACACATCAAAAGGAAAATGGCATATATTCAATTTCTCTTTTTAGCGTGAAAAAAATCAATATAAAAGTACGCTGTGTGTAAGTTTTGAACACTCAAATTTCTACTTTTCATCACAAAATCTAATAGGAGATCCAAGAGACTCCGGTGTAAACTGAAGTTCTGTAGGATGAGGAAGCCAAATTTGCTGAAAAATAGTGCTTTCTTCCACATTTAAGATCTGCGTCAGATGAACAGAGAAAATGAACAACACAAAGAAGCAAACTACTAGTCTCTTGATATTGTTATGCTATTCACAGTGAAAAAGAGCCGTAGTTCTTACCTTTTTTCTTTATCTGAACAGTGTGCAAAAAATAGTAATAATAATTCAGAAAAATAGTAGCCTATTTTTCGACTTACATAAGACATATCCGTCGGACAATTTTCTCAGACCGATGTACTATATATATGTAACAAACTGACTAGCCTATAGATAAAAAAAAGAGCATCACATGTGCAGATGAATTTTACTGCGATTCAATTTGAAAATTTACTTAATCGATAGAAAAACAACCGTAAACGAAAATCGAAACAGAGGGCATTAAAGCAAGATTTAAAAAGATTAACTAAGTTTTGTACAAAAGAGCTGTTACTAACTGGATCATTTATATTTAAGTCTATCAACGCTGAGAGTGCTTGAAATCTGGAGCATAACCTTTGCTGCCAGATGCAATTTTTCGAGGACCATTAGATATTAATAAGAAGCGTAATCTTATAGACGGAATAAATCATTTTAGCCATTGCAGTACACACTAATATTAAGACTTACCTTACTATCACGTGAAAAATTGTATAGATAAGATTACGCTTCATCAAAGTCACATTAAAAGAAATTTAGTGTTTTATTTGCCAGTTAATAATCTTTATCGTATCTAGTAGAAAAGAGCCGCTAAGAGAACAGAAGAAGAAACGATGTACAAGTTCTCGTATGTTTAAGCGGCGAAGTACTTAATTCACAAAGACCGCTACGAGGCTTCGTTAAGTGTGCTATTAACACATATTGTAGAGTTTTCCAAGGCGCATCGAGTGGTGTATTGCACTAGGCTAAATATTGGATGGTTACGAGG